ACTATGAAAACAAGTTTAAAAAAAGATTGTTGCTAGAAATCGTATTTTATTTCAAGATTCATATCAGGATAGCATTCCTGTAGTTTTTTTCTGTTGATAATGCTCTAATTACATAGTCAAACACTCCAAGCTTTTGAATCACTTTTTTTAAAAAGTTTTTCCTCAACTGATTACATAAATGAAATGTACCCGTTTACATATCTATTCTCTGAATCAATTCTTAGTTACAAAGGAAGTTCTAAAAAAATGGTATAATTAAGAATATTTTTCCCGCTAACAAACACTCGTGTAGCAAAATCAGCTGATAGATATTTTTACCGACTTTTATTATAAAATAAAAATCAGATATTAGAAAACAGATTATTTTAATTTTTAGCATTATTATCATTTTACATAATTTCAGAACTAGAACATTCTGTGTATTTTAATCAGGGATAAGAAAAAAAAGCTGCGTATCAGCTAAGGACAAGTTTTCATCCTATATGAAGCAATAACTTACCTGTTTTCATAATATGGTCATTATACATAAAATAATGAAAATACATGAAGTAACATCCAAGAATGTTTTAATCAAGGACAACACGGTCAAGTAATTATAATATTTTTTTTCACAACGTTTATTTAATTAACTTGCTTTGCTATCATGTATACATTAGAAGTTCTGTAATGCAGGAATCTCACAATATATGAACAATGGTGCTATATAGGATGGTGTTATAATATTTTATTCAATGAGAGCAAAACGGAAAGAAGCCTTTACGAACAAAAATAAATAAATAAAATGAAAGTGTCACAAGGTATCATTTTCATTCCTTTCCGATAATATTATATAAGTTATTCCCTGTTGCTTAGATAGAGTTAATCACATGCATTTCTGTGACTTTCAAAGTATTGAAAATCCTTTGCTTTTATTAATTGCACAGTTCTGTTTTCATTGCGCATGCTCTGTGCGTCACATCTTGATGTGACGCACGGCACACAACCATCTCAAGTATTCAAAGCTTTTTCAATGCTTCTATGAAAATTCCATGCGTCGTTCGTTTTTCAAAGCATTTTGTGTTGTGACCTATGTGATGCTAAAATTAGTACTTTTTTTTGGGAGGGGGGAGATACATGGCATTGTGTTTTAACAAAAAATCCGCCTAAGGAAATTTATTTAGGGTAATAACTTTCACTTCGGTAAATTTGTAATTTAAAATCTAATACTAGGGAATTCAATTGTTACAGCTAGCGGAGTAAAGCTGCCTTCATATAAGTTTTTTGAAAGCAAAAACATAAAATAACGTTGCATGTAGAAGAAAACTAAGAAAATATTTCAAGGCTGTCCCGACGAATATTTGAATCAAATCCCAATTCCGTTTATGACTGTGGATTTTTTACTACCTAAGTAGCATTTGCGTCTGAATAATATTCAATAATTCGACAAGTATTACTTTTTGTTACTTGATTATGTCCTAAAAAATAAAACGTTTTACATGTTAAACTTGAATCACAAAATCAGTTAAAGAACGTATAGCTAGTGAGTAAGGATAAGTATGTTTAGTAAGAAAATGTTTAGTTAAATAATTTGTGAGCAAAACCTAATTTTTTATTCTTCAATCATCGGAGACAATACAGATGAAAATAAATAAAGTTTTCAAATTTCAATTTTCCATTACTTTATCCTTTTCATAATGGCGCCACGGTGTTTATTTTGAGTACTTTATACGACGGTGTTTATTTTGAATATTAATTTGATTATTAAACCAATATCATAAATAATATGCCGGATGAATACCCATCCATCAGGGTACGTAGCTAAATATTTCAAAAAAAAAAAAAAAAATAAGCACCTTTTAAGTATTTTTCAAAATCTAAAAATTTTTTTATCACTCAAAAATACTTTTAAGCACTACATTAGCAAAATGCAAAATAATTTTCAAAGACTTTACATGATTATGATGAAATAACTCAATTTTGCCAAAGAACTCTCGTTCTTGATAACATTAACCACTATAAAAAGATAGAGAGATTTTTCGGTTGGATTTCAGAGGAAGAAAAACCAGAAATCGGGAATCTCTTGCAAAACGCAACCGAGTTGCACATGATTTTTAAAAAGCAAAAATCTAAAATAAGCAAGCACCTTTAAGCACTTTTTAAAAACGCTACGCACCCTGCCCATAATGGTCGATAATTTCAACAAGAATAATTAATTACTTATTTAGATACAAAACCCATCGAGACATATTCAAATTAGTTTTAAATTATTAATACATATTATATACATATTATAATTATCACATAATTATTTATTTATTTTCTTAATCTATAATCTACCAGCAGAAACTTAATCAACATGCTTGATGGAAAAAATATTAACAGCTTATATCATCACAATAAAGGCCAGTTTCAGTTGACAGACCAACCTGAGAGAAAGTACACACCTCCACACAACAAAAATGCCACTGGTGGTTTTGCTTCATTCAAAAAGGAACACCATAATTTTCATAATTAGATCACTAAGCTGAAAAGACTGTAATGGATTCAAGAATTTATTGTTACTGCTGCAGGAAGTAGCAGTACAAAGAATGAATTATGAATCACCCCTACACAGGATTAAATTGGCGATGAAGAGAAAAAGAAAAAAAAGAAAATGAAACTCCAATTAGTGCTTTATAGGGACTCGAGAGGTGATGTATAATTTAATGCATTTTTTTTCCACACATGGCGCATTTATTGAAGAAGTCCTCTGGATGGCTTTTTTTTTATGCATGCACATCCGGGCATATTGTCACTGATGCGCGTCCCTCTTTTTCGAGAAATACACGCATACAGCACAGGAAATTGAAAAAAATATTAAAGAGGGAAAATATTTCCTCTTTCTGTGTTTACCAAGTGTCATTTATTTTATGTTTATATTCACATTCGCATATTTGAGACCCGCATCAAAGATTTTTTTTTTTATTTCTTTATGTCAGGCACTTAAAAAAACGAAAATATACGGATATTGAAAGTAAATATTTCAGATCCAGGAAGGTTTTGAAAACAATGAAGTTCTCCGGAAAATTGAATTCAAGAAAAAATACATATGGGTAACAAACATGCAGATTTAGATTTTACTAATGCATATCGAATTCTATCTCACTATTAACCTATTGAACATTTAACCTGAAGTTTTTCGACCATTTCACTTGGCTGCTTTTCTGCATAATTTACACGTTTTTCTTATGTGTTGCAATGGAGGAGGAAAGATTCTATTCAAATTTACTTAAACGCTTAACATTCCGATGGTTAATTTTGAATAAATTACGTTAGGCTTTAGGAGGTAACCGAAATATTTAACATTGCCTACATTATCCAGGGTGCGTAGTCAAATCTTTCAACAAAAAATAAGCCCCTTTTAAGTACTTTGTAAGCACTCAAAAAATATTTTTAAGCACTATATATATTAACAAAATGCAAAAGAATTTTCAAAGACTTTACATATGACCATGATAAAATAACTAGTTTCTGACAGACTCAGCAAAATTATTTATATTAGCCGCCATAAAAAGATCGAGAGATTTTTGGTTCGATTTCAGAGCCTGGAAAATGAAGCCTGAAATTGCAAATCTCGCACATTGCAGCAGAGCTGCACATGAGAGAGCAATAATCTCACCGAACCCAGCTCAGTATACGCACATCCGGACTCGCAAGTATTTCATCAAACGTGCAAAATGATTGGCGCTTTCATAAGCTATGGACGATGGTACGACGAAATAGATTGTGGTTGAATGAAATGTGAAAACGTTTAATACAACAATGTGAAAAACACGCTTCTGCATAATATCTGGTGAAAATCGACATGGTAAAGAAAAAATTCTCATTTTCGAAGAGGGAAAATTAAGCACTTTTTAAAAACACCCAATGAAAAAAGTACATTTAAGGGCTTTTAAAAGACGAAAATGGAAAATAAGCACCTTTAAGCACTTTTTAAAAACGCTACGCACCATATTATCAGAAGGATTGGAATATTTTGCATTAAAAACGTCATTGAAGGAATCAAGATATCGAACACTACCAACGTTTCCAAATCGATCGAGATATTCCACATTGCAGTATTTTGGAGGAATCAAGAATATTTGACATTACCAATGTTATCGGGAAATTCGGGAGATTTTGTATTACTACGTTAATCCTTTACAGAACAACAAATTTCGGTGAAAATAAATAACTGGAGCAAATTTTTAACAGCGATTTTGTTAATATTCAGTGTATTTTATGAAATAGTGCTATGAATTTCATAATTTTTTTCGAATTTGTGACTGCATTAAAAATTAATTATTATTGCTTAAGTTATCATAGATTTTTTTTGTATTTAACATAAGGAATCTAAGTTTTTCCGTTCTTACACTTCTACGTTACATAAGTAAACAATAACATTAATATAACATTAATAACACAGCTTAGGGGCTGTTCAAATAATACGTCGTAAGCTTTTAACGCAGGGAGAAGATTTGTCATTTGCTTATTTTTTGTAGACAAGGGAATGGGAGGAGGAGGAGCTATGCTTACATAAGACGTTAAAATCTCATAATTCCAATTTTTATTGAAAACATCAAATTAAAAATATAACAAAAAAATTAAACATGGAAAATTTGGAATGGAAATTCAATTTGGGGAGAGGAAAAATTGGAGAAATTCCCTTCGAAGAGTTTTAGGGGTCAAGAGATTAGAAAAAAAAATCAAAAGGCTCTTAAAGAATATTTTAATTAAAAGTTTATAAAATAAATTATAAAGTAACTTCATAATGCGAAATTAAATCTATTATTTGAATTAATCCTAAAATTAGATTATTAGTAAAACAAAAACCGGAGGTGGGGTTGCAACTACGTGTGGTTTTTACGTAAGCATTAAAGAGGTCATTTGCTTTTACTTGCTTACAAGGGGGAGGGAGAGTCTAAAATTGCTAAAAATATGCTTACGCAATACTTGAACGACCCCTGGAAGAAATATGAAAATTGCATAGCAAAAAAACTTACTTTTGTGATGGATATTTAGAAAATTCTTTAGAGTCGTTCTCATCTTGAATTATCCGACCAATCAATAAGACATTCACTTATCCAATAGCAGTAAAATCTGAAATTTAAAAAGAATCGTTATAAAAAAAGGCAACAATTGTAACCATATCGTAAGGCAGAAAAAAAATATCTAATCCCCTCAATTGCCAGTAATTTATGTTTCGATGTAACTGAAAGTTAAAGTGAAAAAAAGGAAGATATGAGATACAACAAGAATAAAAAAAAAGAAGAAGAAAAAAAGGATTTTTTTTCTCGCTCACAAAACTTGAGTATCTCCAAACGAATAGTACACCATATTTTTCCCTCTACAATATTAAATCTGTCATCAGCGCCAGAATTCAACACCATAGAAGGAAAAGTTATTACCCTTAAACAGATATCGTACTATACCACTAAGAAGAGAAAGCAATGAAAAAATGCTTTATAGTAAAGGAAATAGGTTTTTTTTTCTTCGCAATTTGGTTCAAGAAAAAATAGAGCCACCTAGTTGCCACTGTTAAATGGGGCATACCACACTTAAAAAAAAGTCCTGAGAAAGTAATTACATTGATTAGAAAAAACTTAGGATTACTCGATTTTATCATTAAAACCTTCAGATATCTTAGACCTGCAAAGGTTTCGCATTATTTAAAACAGTTCAATGTATAATTTTAATAATGTTAATTTTGATCCTTCAGATATCTTAGACCTGCAAAGGTTTCACATTATTTGAAACAGTTCAATGTGTAATTTTAATAATGTTAATTTTGATCCTTCAGATATCTTAGACTTGCAGAGGTTTCACATTATTTAAAACAGTTCAATGTATAATTTTAATAATGTTAATTTTGATCCGTCAGATATATTAGACCTGCAAAGGTTTCACATTATTTAAAACAGTTCGATGTATGCATTTAATAATGTTAATGGTAATTTGACAATGTTAATATTTTTCCTTTTACAATATTAAATCTGTCACCAGTAACTAAATTCAATCACATGCGAGGAAGAATTATCACTAGATTCGTATTCTATCTACATAACGTTATCACATTTACATTAATAAAGCCAGATTCCATGGATATATTTGATTATATCAATATAAATGTTATATTGATAATGTAAATATTTTTACCTCTACAGTATGTATTATGCTTATGTGTCACCAGTAAAAGTATTCTTCTCCATATAAGGGGAAAATATTAATCTTTAAAAGATATCCCTATTTTATCTACATATTCGTATCTGCACTATTCATATTAATGAAAACAGTTCTTTGGGTACATTTAATATTGTTAATTGCCATGTCACCAATTTAAATTCCAAAAACACTTCGTTTTTTAAAAAAATTTTGAGACATTTCAAAAGAAATTATCAATTTGCTAGTAAAAAACAAAACTACTTAAAATAATATGATTCGTGAAATGAACGCTTTGATTTTGATTTTATATGCTAAAGTAAATGTTAATTAGGTAATGTAAACATTTTTACCTCTTCATAAGATAATACTCATATGTGTTGTCAGCAAAAATATTCTTCTAAAAACAAAGAAAAATGGTCACGCTTCAATAGTTATTCCTATTTTATCCACAAATTCGTATCCGTATCATTAATATTAACAAAAACAGTCCTAAATATGCATTTAATGTTATTATAGCCACGTCATCAATGGGAATTGCAAAAACACCTCGTTTTATAAACAATCTGAGAACTTTCAAAAGAAATTATTAATTTACTAATAAAAAACAAAACTACTTAGAATAATATTATTCGAGAAACACACTTTTTTACTTTGATTTTAAAATTTACTTAACTTAGTTTTTTAACATTTGAAAAATAATCCTAAATGAAAAAAGAAAAATATTTCTAATAACTGAAAAAAAAAATTCCTTGAGTCTGAAATATTAATAATCAAAGTGTAGTTGAGGAATTTTCCGAAACTAAGCTGGTAATGTTAAAACAATCAATCTTAATAAATTTCAATCTTATCCTGATAAATTAAATCGATCTTAGTTGAATTCCGTAACAATTTTATGACTCTCCAAAAATTTAATATAACGCTAGCAATTTTAAAGCAATTGTCTGTCAAAATTAGTTAAGATTTCTATTAATTTCAAATTCTAACTTCCAAAATCTCGTTTATATTTATAATATGATTCTAAAAGTGTATAGAACAAAACAAAAGTCAATCAGGATCTTTAAAGTAGGAAACAAAACTTTAGGGAGAAAAAAAATCTAAAAGAAATATGCACTCTCAAAAAAAAGAAAAAAAAAGTAAATAAATAAATAAATAATAATAATCAGTGCAGCGCTTAGAACCACAATCATTACTTCGAACTGTAATACGGTGCAAATTTGTTGCAACCTTAATAACCATGTAGTTTGAGACAAACGTCAATAATTTATTTAAAAGTGTTAAAGGAAATATTATTACAAGAATATAATTGAAAAATACATTAAAAAAAATAGGTTCAACGTTGAATTATAATATGGTGCATATTTTCGGCAACCTTAATAATATGTTAAATTGAACCACGTTGTTTTAAAGGAACGCCAACCTATGAATTTGAAAGTGTTAGAGAAAACATTACGTTAAGAATATAAATCAAAAATAAACTTTGAAAAAAATCGGTTCAACGTTAAATCATAATATGGTTCAACCTTAATAAGACTTTAAATTGAGCCATGTTCCAATTTATGTTGAACTAATGTACCCTGTAATTAAGTTTAAGAAAGTTAATGCGTATCAACTTAGGACTATATTATGGTTGTTATAAATTTGAACAATTAGGACTATATTAAGGTTGAGACACACTCCTATATTACACCTATATTGAGACACATTCCTATAAGAAAATTTTTGGAGTGTATTGAACACTAAAAACAACGTTAACGTGTATCAACTTAGGACTATATTAAGGTTGTTATTAATTTGAACATTATTATGGTTGAGACACACTCCTACATTACTCCTATATTGAGACACACTATTATAAAAAAATTTTTGGTGTGTATTGAACACTTAAAAGAACGTTAATGTGAATTAACATATCACTATATAAAGGTTGCTGGGAATTTAGACAATATATAATGGTTAACCCACTCCTATATTCATAAAAGAAATTTTGGAATTTATTAAACACTAAAAAAAAAAACGTTAATGTGAATTAATTTAGCGCAATTGTAAGATTGCAACAAATTTGGACACTGTTATGGTTTAACCTACTCCTGTGTTTCTAAGAGAATGTTTGGAGTGTTTTGAATACTTCGAAATTGTAATCTAACAGAAATTGTATTTTGTAATTGTCTAATTGTAATCTAACGAAATTGTAAATTGTAATCTACAATTAAAACTAATTGGAATGAATTTAAGATTAAAACTAGTTCAAAACACTTTACAATTCCATTAAATATCATAAAAACTTTTGTCTGCCTCATTAAATATATCAGAATAACTAGTCATTATCTAAGTTTATTTATAACAGACTATAATAGAATGCAACCATAATATTTATATTTTCATAACAACCATTCAATGAGAATATATTAAAAAAAAAATTAATTTCGAAATACAATTTACCAGCTTTTTCATAACAAATGCATTGTGAACAAAACAGCAATCATTGAATATTTTTCATTTTGCACCCTATTAGCATATGATATGCTATAAATGAAGGGGGAAAAGGACATGCCAAGAAAACAAAGCTTTTGACGTTTAATATCTTGTTATTTTACAAAATCACCTTATTATACATTGCAAATATCATTTTCTAGTAAATACCCTAATGTACCTAAGCTATTTAAACTGTTTAAACCCATAAAGGAAAGTACAGAAGAAAAAAAAAACATTCAATTGTGCATAAGGCGAAAGGTCAAGGTCCCAACACTTTCCTCGAAACCAAGGTCACTCAGTAGAATACTAAGGACATAAGAATAAAAACATTTAGAATTGAATAAATAATTGAAATTATATTTTCGTCAGTGTCCCATTACCTCTTAATCACTTATTTTAAAAATGAGAAAAACTAAATTACCACTTTTTTTTCACTATCTTAATCAGAAAGTTTCTAAGGTAAGAAGATTTAATCTTGAGGAAATGGGTATCATATGTCAGTGGTTTCTGTCAAACTGGTTGCATGCGGAAATTGTAATAATTTCGTCCAATTTTGAATGTTAACATGCTGTGGGTTAATTTAGCCATCTTTATAACCCATTAGATACAAGAAGACCATGACCTTAGTAAAGTTTTCGTGTTTTTCAGCAGGTGTGTCAAACTCAGTTAAGCATTAAGCAAATATTACCATCCTATTGTTTGTAAAAAAATAATTTAATTCATTGTATGAGATGTAAAAATTGGATAAAACTGCTTCTTAGGATCAATCAAAAAAATGTATTACGATGAATTTGCTTAAATAAATTTTTTTTAAATTGCTTCTAAAATTAAATAACGCTTAATCCAAAAATGTAATTTTCATCCATAAAATTGAGGATATTTCGTCTTTAAAAAAAAAATAACTAAATATACTAGTAAAATGGTAAAAAAATAAGTTTATATTTTAAAAACTTATGAAATAACCGTAGTCAAATAGAACACTTTGTACCAAAATGTTAATCACAGTACGTAACAGTGTTAGAATAGAAGTAATTAATTACTTGCTAACTTATTTTACAATAAATTATAGCTGGCACATGTAAGGGTATTTTTTTATCAATTACAAGTAATTAATTACTTGTAATTGTGATAAAAATCGTGACAATTTTATTAACTATTAACGCAAAGCAATCAATTACTTGCAAGCGTGATTACAAGCAAACATGCCTTACGATTACAATTGTAAACATGATTAAAATATTTATTAGCTACGATTATCAGTTATAATGATCTACTATCACACGTAATTATGATAACGTTTTATCGTAAACACATGTGTATTCTTGCTTACATGCAATCACAATTACAAGCAGTTTTGACTTGATTACAAGTAATTGATTACTTGTAATCAAGTCAAGTCAATTAAGATCAATATTACAATTTAGATCAAATTTTCATAGTTCCAATATATATTGTTATATATAGAA